CACTATTATATTTGTGTGTTGGAATTGAGTATGTTCCGGCAAACTCATTCACGAGTGTTGGTGTACATTCTTTGCTGCTTCCAAGACATAACAGCATTATCGGTGTTTCTCTCACTTTATCATCAGGTTTATGTTTGCGAATAGCGTAATAGACGGCATCGATTTGACTTGGCTCTGTATTGATAATTTCTTCGTGAGAGACCCATGCAAGTCTTAAGCGGGGACTTTTACTTTCCCAGGAGGATTGGATCAAGTCGTTAATTGCTTGATTACGAACGTTCTCCGGAACTAACGACATAGTTTGCCGGATAGCTGAGTTACAAGCATGGATATGTGGTATGGTATATGTGTTACGTTACATAGTCTGGCTTAATGAGTAATAGATTAGCAAGCTAATGTCAGAATGTATTAAAACATTAGATTATCTCATTCGAATAACAGGCTAGGACGTAATTTATATATATTTTACGGAAGCGTCGTTACAGTTTAAATGAAGGGTTTTAGTACTTTTTCATTCAATTAAATAAGGGCTTTTATTTCAATTTAAGCAAATACGAGACATTCCAATGCCAAGTTACATATTTCTGTTAAAACATGTCCATTTTAATTTACCAAAGCGTATGCAATAATTAAAACTCATTTATCGGTAAAAATTCCTACGTTCAAAAAGCTAATCACCGTCTTAAACTGCGGACTGAAATAAAAACAAAGACAATAGCAATGATACGACAACAGTTTTCAATAATAATAACGGATATAAATATTTTATTACAAGAGTTGAAGCTTCCAGTTTTACCTTTCAGCAGTAATTAACACACCTTTCCGCCTGGAAAAAAGGTTGTTTATATGATAATCTACGTTTATATTACCATTCGAATTTATTTACATTCTATTACGTCTACTCGCGATGTTTGTAATACAAAGTGTGCCCGCAGAATACATAGTTTACCCCGAACCAACATACAACCTACAATATTTTATCTTGTTGTAAGCAAGCTTATATTTTTGTGTTTATGGTTAGTTTAAAGGCAAATTTCACCATTACTATCAACGTCGATTTTTACCCTTATACGTTATATATGGAATGCGTGTAGTCCATTAAACAATAGTAGAAGTTTGAAATCTGACGTGTATTTTGATGTACATCTTAAAGTTCATATGTCAGAAAAGAGTAATAATGAGACTCCGTGTTTGCATGTGTCAAGATTATTTTGCGATAAAAGCACACAGCCACATCCAAGTCATCATCCATTAAAACGTGACATGTTTGTATTCCCAATATAGAATTTGTACTTGGAACCCAAAAAACCAGCTATGACAAATGTATTAGTATTATACAGTTGTAGATCGTATAGTTGCCTTTGTTGTAAATAAGGTTTCGTTGCGTTGTACATGATGCAGTCGATCTAATAAATTCAGCCATCCTTTACAATATATTTAATTGATTATCAAATTATTATCACGATATACATACTACATACGAACAACAAAACGAAAAGTTTTGTCATGTGCTTTACTTTTACAACGCGGGAATGTACTGTCTCTGATCCGATTTCACATTATTTCTCGTTTAGTTAAAGAATAAGGCCTTTGTCACGGTTAATAAGGTTATTCGCTAAAATTGGCGATCGAATATTTGGTATCTTGACATTTCAGTTACCAAATTCATGCGTCTAATCGAATCTGACAATTACGTGTTTAAACTACGATTTTGGCAATGGACCTTGTCAGCAGTAGACCTTTCGTGAGGTCAATTCACACCATAGACGTTTCGTTATCCCTTTCGTTATTCCTCATGATCTCGGGAAAACTATATAACAACGGAGAGTATTTTTGAAACGGTTATCAAGCTGTCACCATGGCTACGATTACGCTAATTACCACCGCCAACGTGAGTGCGATAAACAAGATGAACACACGCAAAACACCTGATCTTTTATTAATCTCTTTTTGTATTCACAAAAAACTCATAGATTCCAAACAATCTCATCTCGGAACTGTCCGACGTTGGCAAAGCGTTGTTTCCTGAACAGAGTTCTCGCCTTCAGGTCATTTGTACCGAATCAGCCCATATAATGTTCAACGACGATTCGGTCAAACCCTCGTTCCTTCTTTACGTGAACGCTATTAACTTGAACGCCACTCGTCAGTCTGAAAAACTTAACATCGTCAAACAGTTTACGGAATGTCTGACTAATTACTCGGGATTCGACCAAGACAGAGGTTATGTTCTGTTGAGAGACCCAGGGACGACTAATTGGGGATTTTCGGGAGATCTGATCATTGTCGAACCGGATAAAAAGTGATGACGTCATCAATTTTGATATATCCCACTATGTAACGGCTCGTGTTTAACGAATATTTGAAATCTCACACAATCGTTAGATCCACGTATCGGCATATTGGTTAAAAAGTTCGAGTCGTGATTTGGAAACATGTGGGATAATAAACCTGTCAAATTTCATTGCCGCACACGGCTTTCATAACATGATTGGTGCTTGCAATACGACCTTTTTCGCTGCTACATAATTCGTTCATTCAGACAAGTCCAGTGAGATTAATTCTAACGCTTTCCAGAAATCGGTGACTTTGATTAAAATTACATCTCAATCGTAAACTTTCCGGAGAGCGCCATAATTTAATTGCATACGCATCCTAATACATAATCGTCATATAATAACAGGAAATGCCGAATACTCCACTACGAGCCGTTGTATAAACTTGCTTCCATTCAATCTTATATGAATATGCCCAGCAATCCTATAAAGATGATCTTTCTACTCATGTTTATCGTACCACAAGTAATTAAATTAATCAGCAGTCTAGACTATATACATTAAAATTAATCTTACAAGTGAGAGGGGTGAGGGTGGTGTGAGTGTGTTCATCTTGTTTATCGCACTCACGTTGGCG